CCGCCACTCGCTTTCCTTCAACGACTGCTTTGTCAAGGTGGCCCGCTCCCCCGACAAGCCCGGCAAGGGCTCCTACTGGACCCTGCATCCTGACTCCGGCAACATGTTTGAAAACGGCTGCTACCTCCGCCGGCAAAAGCGCTTCAAGTGCGAGAAGCCAGCAAACAGCAAAGCCCCTCAGGAGGGCAGGAAAGATCAGGCCGGGGCTTCCAGTTCCAGCTCCAACTCCCCCCTGCACAGAGGCCACAATAAACCCGCACAGCTGGACACCGCCACCTCCCTCTCCAGCTCCAACCCGTCCACCAGCCCCCAGTCTATGGACCACAGCGGATCGAGCACGGAGCTAAAGACCTCGGCTTCGGCCGCCTCCTCCACTATCAGCTCCGCCTTGGCTTCCGTCCCGCACCCCCCTCACTCCTTAGCCCACGAACCCCAGCTTCACCTCAAGGGTGATCCCCACTACTCCTTCAACCACCCCTTTTCCATCAACAACCTCATGTCCTCCTCGGAGCAGCAGCACAAGCTGGACTTCAAAGCCTACGAACAGGCGCTGCAATATTCCTCCTATGGGGCCAGCATCCCTGGAGGGCTGCCCTTGGGCAGCGCCTCCATGGCAGCCCGGAGCAGCATCGAGCCCTCAGCCCTAGAGCCCTCCTACTACCAAGGTGTGTATTCCAGACCCGTGCTAAACACCTCCTAGCTCTGCACCTCCTGCTGTTGGGGGCGACCCCCTCTCCACACCCCCTTCCTCCCCTTTTCTGGCTTCTCTCACCCCTGTCTTTCTCCCTGTGACAAACCGAAGTGTTTCCGCACGCTGCGTGCAAAGGACTGTTACTTTTTAATTGTCTCGCAACGTGTTGTGTGTTGTTATGATCCACCACCACCATCCTGCAAAGCCGGCCGTGTCCCATTTGTACATACCCCTTCCCACCCTTTGCCACCCAGCCCCTCTCCCCGGAGATTCCCCCTATCCTTTGCGGGGTGTTATTCAAAAGAAGAAAAAATTGTTGAGCTTGTAAACTACTCGTTTGTGCTTTCCACCCCCCTCGTCTCCCCGCTCCCCCCTTCTGTGCTCTATAATCTCATGTAAGTTTACAGGTATGTGGCAATACTTTAACAATACGGAGATGAAGAAGAGAGTAGACATTTAAGGCTTTTTTTAATTAAAAAGGCTTTGAAGGACAATACTGCTGTGAAGTAGCAAAACACTAAGAGAATCTCTAAGCAACAAGAGGTCTATTTACTTTCTCGGATCATCCTTTTGATACTTGCAAAATAAACCTTCGGCTAGTACAACCCGCATACACCCAGATGCTGCGGACCGGATCCTGCACTCCCGAGGGGACCAACTGGAGCTTTGGAGTGCAGGATGCGACCCCCCCTTTTTTTTTTTTTCCAAGTGTTACCTGTCTTGGGATGTAATATAAAGTTACAAGAGGTCACAGCCAGTTGGATATTTTTTTCCTTCCCATCTGTTACTGAAGATTCTCGTTCATCAGGAACTCTCATCGACATGTGGATGACATGCTTATTTAATTTAAGTGTCTCTTCATTGTGTACCAGCTAGAACTGTGTATCTATACAAGGTTATTTTCCCCCTCCCCCAGGAAACGTTGACTATTAAACCGACGCAGGGAAAAGAGGAGAACTCCTTCTCTCTCACCTTTTCCAACTTGTTTAATAAATTCCACATCCAATTTTTTTTTTTGTGGCCGTTTAATTATCGCCATCATTTGCTTGTTTCATCCAGTGTTAATGCACTTTCCACAGTTTTACACGGTGTTAGCATAGCCAGACGGGTTTTATTATTATTCCTGTTCGCGGTCTCAATGTTCTTAATTTATTGCATGGTTTATATTTTTTTCTTTCTTTACAGCTGGAAATTGCTTTAAATGACAGTAAAAAAAAAAATTACACGTGAATTTAAGAAATTTTGTTAATTTTATAAATGTGATTGTAATTGAAAAAATATTTTGATTTAAAACGATAACTGAGAATTTAATGCGTGAAGTATGTTTTTGATCATTTGCAGTTAAGGACTTTAAATAAATCAAATGTTAACAATGGAAGACTTCTGCTATTTTCTTTCCAAATGTCCGGGGCGGGTTACGGAGGACGGAGCCATGTGCCAGAAAAAGAAACGTAGCGCGGAAGCGTGGATGCGGTGCGGAGCGATGTGCACGGCCAAGCCTGCGCGGCGGGCAGGAAGGGGACGCGCCCGCAGGGTGTGTTTGCGGGGCACTGCGGTGCCACCGACGCGTGCGGGTGTGTGCGTAGTGGTGGTTGGAATTTTTTTAATTTACGGTGTCGGGGTAGATTGAGGGAGGGAAGGAGAAAGCCACCCGAGGCGGTGTAACCTCCTAGGTGTTGTGCGGCCGGGGCGGCGGTAGGCAGACCCGC